GTGGAGATCATTACGGTGAGACTCCCTTTCTGCATTACTTTAACACCCCGGCTCCCACCCTAGCCGTAAGTGTCTGCTCATAGGATTGTAGACTAGCCCACAAACCAACACAAGTCTTTCCCGCACACTTTGTCCTCACTCGTGCACGCCCAAGGAATTTTCCCAGGGGGGTCACCCATCCTAAAATTGCTTCAGGTCAATCACGCTTAACTTTAGAGTTTCTAGGTGATGAGCTCTCAAAAAGAAGATGCATCTTGTTTGTATGAGTAGTACTATCAATCCTTTTGAGCTCTTCCCATTTCCATCTAAATACGAGGCATTACATTCACCCCCACTTGGCCCGTCACGGTCGTAGGGTGGCTCTGATACCATTTGTAACACCCCGGCCCCCACCCTAGCCGTAAGTGTGAACTAAGCTCTCTTGGCCCGTCACGGTCGCAGGGTGGCTCTGATACCATTTGTAACACCCCGGCCCCCATCCTAGCCGTAAGTGTCTGCTCATAGGATTGTAGACTAGCCCACAAACCAACACAAGTCTTTCCCGCACACTTTGTCCTCACTCGTGCACGCCCAAGGAATTTTCCCAGGGGGTCACCCATCCTAAAATTGCTCCAGGTCGAGCACGCTTAACTTTGGAGTTTCTAGGTGATGAGCTCTCGAAAAGAAGATGTACCTTGTTTGTATGAATAGTACTATCAATCCTTTTGATCTCTTCCCATTTCCATCTAAATACGGGGCATTACAATTACAACTACATAGAGCGAGAGCATTGGGAGAAGGTTTAGATCCAGAACGAGACTCTAGAAGCTATGATAAAACATCATTAAGTTCTTTGAATGAAATTAACTAAAACGAAAGTTTTTAACAATTATTTTTAGGCCCTGATTCAGGCTAACAGGGAGCTACAGAAAAAGAATCCTTATCCGCACTTTATGGGTCGGGGTGGATATGCCATGCTTCACCGTGAGTTGGCTGCTTCTTAGGCCACGACTTCTGCGGATATCACCGATTCGGCTACCGAGACGGGTTCTCAGCTCGGACGAGAGGAATTTTGGTTGAGAGGTCACACCCCGGGGAGAGAGCCAAAAGTTACGGACCCTACGCTTATGGAGATTCGTGATAGGATAGTAAGCTTATCATCTACATTCATGTCAATATATCTATTTATTAATTGTTTATTATTTGCTTACAATTTCTTTCCTTTTTTTAATTTCTTAACTGTCAAAGGTTCAGCTGAGGAAGAGGTGGCGGCCAGTACCTTTGTGCTAGAGGGGCACAATGATGGTAGGCTAGAGCTTTAGGGACTTCTGAGCACCCGAGGTGGACGAGAGGTTTTGGCTCATACGTGGCTTGCGTAAAATATTCAAAGGAAACATGAAACCCCGTAAGCCCGAAGGTAACTATATGACTGAGCAAGATCTTTTGCAGTGTCTTCCTTCCCTTTTACAGCAGTATGGACTATCTTTGTTCGGGGGTGCTCTAGAATTTGAATGCATGTCGCAGCATACACCTTCTGTAGCACCTCATCATGGGTAGCGTCTACTGATTTTGTTGACTTCACCGATCCACTGAAGTACATATATTGTTAAATTTAAGTTTCAAGTTAGGTTTGCGTTTACTTGTTTCCAACATTAGTTAACTAATTTTTTTATAGGTTGCTACTTGTTCGAGGATCTTTGATCCAGCCGATTATATAGTGTCACATGGATCGGTTTTCCCACGTGCACCGGGAGATGTGGTGCACGGTGTTCCCCTCCTTCCCCACCAGGTTATGGTCGCTGTGACCTTGGTGCTTCCTGGAATGGGTGAATATCTCATTCCTTGTCCCACTGACCACATAGAGACCGTCGTAGATTGGGAGGGGAGCTTCGTCGCATGGCCAAAGTCGTTAGTGGGCCTTGGAATGTACGAAGTTAATAAATTTAATTCTTTTTTATTCAACATCATTTGGGTCGTGTTTCACATGTCTTTTTTTGCAAATATTCAAAGCCCCCGGTGCACACAGCTCAGCAGGGGGACTTCCCATGAAGCAAATCTCGTCCTATTCTCGGCACACGCCCCACTGCTACTCCTATCTCTCTTGATAGGATGTTGTTGACAGGAGCATGTACGCTTATTTTGGGCTAAGATTAGACTTGTGCAAACAAGGGTCGGCCCGTCCGGCCCGCCCAGCCCGCCCTTTAAAAAGGGTGGATATGGACAACCTTTAATACCCACATGGGGCGGGCCGGTCCGAGCCCGAATTGTATTTGGGTGGATCTGGAAGTTACTTTTAGCCATCCGGGCCAACTGGCCCGCCCATATTCATCAAAAATATTCACTTTATTATTAATTATCTAGCCAATATAATTTTGAAACATTGTTTTATTTCATGTATAATGGTTCAATTAACTCACCTCTCTTAAACAAAAATCAATATTCTTTTAATGAATTAGTATGATGGTTTATTAATTATGCAACAATACCTCTGTTATTCTTTCTATGTAAATTTGGCGAGTGGTGATTTTATTTTAAACGTTGAAAAAAGAATTCAATGTTTTTTTGGATTTTTTGTGCAAAAATATTTTCTTGGTGTTTTATCTAGGCCGGGTGGCCCGGTGGGTAGTTCGGCTTACTAAGGTGGGCGGGTATGGGTAAAGAGTTTAGCGCATCAAATTCCGGTCGGGCTAGACCTGCCCATGTAAATGGGCTAATAATTTGTATCTAGCCCGGCCCGGATCTTTATTTGCACAGGTCTAGCCGAGATGTAGAGAGTTTTGGTAGTGGCTGACACGCACATCTTCTTTGCCTACCATCAGCGTCATTCTCAATCCTGAGTGCATGCTCTATCTGGAGGAGACGGAGCTGAGGATGCGACCCGAGAATATACGTGAGTTCATGTGATGGGAGGAGGTTGATCAGACCATCATCATTGTTTTCTTCAGGTATGCCAAGCACTATGTTCGAATAAAATGCAATCATGTTCTAATAACACAAGAGTTTATGTGATGTATGTTATAATTATTTGTTATAATTGTAATTATTATTTACCTGTGAAATAACTAGATTGTTGCACGATCATATGATGGAGCAGGACATCACGACTGTCGGGTTGTTATGTCTGGAGAATATTGCGTACGTGGTAGATTATGGAGATCGCCAATATATGGATAGAGCACTCGAGTCCTATCAATCGCGGCCTTGAATACTTATGCCATTATATCTCTCAAAATCGTATGTTTTCTAAACCATTTTAAATATGTATTCTGGTTTTTTTATATTCATTATGAAGCTAATGGCTAATGCTCTTTCAATTTTAGGCATCATTGGGTGTTAGTTGTAATACGCTTGTTTGAAAACAAAGTGTATTTCTTTAACTCACTCAATGCAACCGGAGGGCATAAGCAAATGAAAGTGAAGACTTTCGTACACGAGTAAGTATTAAGAAATTTATTTCTTATTTATGAAATTCTTTATTTGTTAAGAAATTTATTTATTATTGATTTGTTTTTTTACATATGTATGAAAGGTCTTGGCAGTTACTTCAAGAACGGCACATGCCTCAGCTTAAGGCTCGACCAGATTAGATTGATGTTCCTGGAGTACCACAACAACCAAGGGGGTATGTAGAGTGTGGATATTATACTATGTGATTTTTATGGCTCATCGTCACTTTGTGTGCTCAGTGTTCTATACTGTTATACAATGTACTACGTAAGTTTATTTTAGTGTATTTTTTAAACTAAAAAAGAGGTTAGAGAATTTTGGGCAAGGAGTTTCTTGATGAACTAGTGTAAGTTTTGTGTTGCATTGTGTAGTTGGTTGTATGAATTTTAGAAGAGTGTAGTTTATTTGTTATATGACTCTTAGTTGCGGTGTTATAGCTAATTAGCTTGTAAATGTTGATATTTTTTTAATTTTAAGTAAACAAGTGATCGATGTAAATATTTGCTTTTTTGGTTTGTTTTGTGTAATTTGGTTTTGTGTAATTTTTTTTATTTTAGGTAAACAAGTGATCGATGTAAATATAGTTGTGTTGTTGGGTTGTGTTGTAGTTGTTTTTGGATTGTGTTGTTGTTGTTGGTTTTGTGAATTTTGCACAGAATTCTGTGAATTCTGTGCAAAATTATAATTGTGGTGGGTTGTTTTCTAACAAACTGCCGTGGTTAAAAAAATTGCATCGGTTGTTAGCTAACAACCGATGCAAAAGGCTCTTCCCCAGAAATGGGAAGAAGCATTTGAATCGGTTGTTAGCTAACAACCGATTCAAATGCTCCTTCCCCGAAGTGGCGCCAATTCTGGGAAGGGGCTTTTGAATCGGTTTAACAACCAATGCAAATAGTAATCTCAGCATTTGAATCACTAGCATTTTCATCGGTTTCCAACCGATTTAAAAAGGTAAAAATGACCAATTTAAAAGGCCTTTTCCGTAGTAGTGATATAGCTAAAAATTTTAGTCATTTGCCTCTTCACAGACACTACTTTTTAGTGTAGAATTTTCACTGACATCATGTGATAATCAATTAAAAGCAGTGTCTCGAAAGTGTTCACCCAAACATTGATTGTTTATAGCATCACAGACACCATTCCCTTTGTAGGTGATCGTTGTCATGGTTTTGTGAGCAATCACACAGACATAGTTTGAATGCTTGAGAGTTTATATATGGGTTCACCTTTGGGGTAACTAATTGGGCGACTTCAGCATTTTTTGAAGAAGAATTCTATATGTTATGACTTTCAATCCCCCCATAAAAAAGCCCCGTGACCTCAATCAATCACATACGCATTCAGTATGATATTTGGGGACAAACTTGAGAGAAGCTTAGGTGCATGGTAAAAATATTCACATTTTTTCGTGTGAATCCTACAAAAGTATGTGTGCATTCTACAGTATAGGTTGTTGATTCCATTAGTTTACTCTTATGGGAAAATAAATTCTTCAGAATTACAGAAGAGGTGCAATTCTAGTGCAATCACTGAGTTTACCCGTTGTTGCAAGAAAGAGCATGGTTTCAGCTAACAATGGAATACTGTGCGCTACAAGAGCACATAGAAATACATCAATAGTGCATAAAAGGAATTTTAACGAATGCCAGGGACCAACCAACCAATGCTATTTCCTAAGATATACGGATCGGAGTATGTTTTGACGAAAAATATTCACCTATCATCTAGTCACCAACTTTGGCTAGAATCAATAGTAATACACTTGTGAGGGAATTAGTTATACTTCTCAGCCTCCAGTGTTGAATACTACTATGTATGAGCATCGGGTTACTCAGTTCAGCTAAGAGATAGACAGAGGCTAAGAATTATGCATCCAACACAGATAGATCATCAGCAGCAGCTCTGTCTTGCTTTCTTGTTCTTTTTTTCCTCTTCCTCTCAGTTTGGGGTTCTTTCGCTTTTAAGTCATCACGGAAGGATCTCAATGTGGCAGCAAGATGCTCGTTTCTATGTGCTTTGAAATGGAAACATACATGTAATGGTTATAAGCTACATAAAGATGGTCTTATTAACAGACAAGTAACTAATAATAGTAATGCGGAGGAGCAGTAAAAGACAATATCAGATTAAAGAGCCCTCATTTCATAAATTTCATAGTATGAGGGAGTAAAGCAGCAATAGATGAACTTCAAGCAAACAGCACCATTAATAACTCACTTGAAAGTATGACATCTTCCATGTTCACCGACTTGCGGCCACCATGTTGTGCAAATAATTCAAGATCCTTTGCCAACTGTTCTGCTTTCACAAGTAGTTTATGTTAGTTTGTAAGTGTCCAAGTGAACCTTTTCATGTTTATGAGCTTTAGTGCTAAAACAGTAAGATGCCATGCACCCATTAAAGACACTGAATATAAAACTCAAGATGAAGATGAAAAAAGCAGAAAATGCAAAACTTTGAATCAAGAATTTCGCTCCTAGACACCCCCCCCCCCCCCCCCCTCCAAAGGAAAAAGACAACAACCAAATTTATTAATCACCCAAACAAGCGTGTATGCAGTGGCAAAGCATCCAAGTTTGCCCAGTTGCTCAGAAAGCCATAAAAATATAACAAGAAAAGCATGTCCAAGTATAAACGAGGAGATAGTACATTTAACTTGAGATGCATCATCAAAAGCTATCATAACCAAAACAAAAGGAGCAATCATGTTTAAGACAACCACACCATTTGAAGAATACTCTTACTGCTTACTAAAATTTGGAAAGAGCAGCAATAAATTCTATACTCCATAAAATAACAATCTAAAATTTGATTTTTACTCCCTCCATCCCAAGATGAGTTTCTCGTTTGGTTTCGGCAAGATAATTACAAAAATGAAATCGCATGGTGATCTACTGAGAAATAGAAGGAAAATATGAACTATATAAATTTTTCATTAAAAGAAAATGAAAAAATGTCACTGAGACCGATGAGAATAATAGTGAAAACAAATTGGAGCAGGGAGTTGTGGATTTAACAATTGCTCATCAAAGTTTAACGCAACATCGGTCATTTCAAGATGATCTCTGTTGCAACGTGTTTGCACATAAACAGTAACGTTTTGCATAATCTCTATTCCCCGTAATCATGAACCACATCAGAGGATGACAATGATAAAAGGGTTGAACAGTAGTTGGAAGAGGCATGACGATTATGATCGAAGGTTTTGCATAATCTCTATTCCCCGTAAACATGATCAAAATTACCCTATTAGTTTGCATTATCTCTATTCCTCGTAAACATAAACCACATTAGAGTTTCATGTGATTTTGAGCTTCATTATCAAACAAATCCTCAAAATGGTGTACCATTGTAATCCAGCAAAATAAATTAAAGGATGTTCTGAATGCAAGATATCAACAATGCAGTCTTGAGAAAAAAGCTCATATTCTGGGATTCTGGAAAGTTACCTGCAAATTTGAAGGCTAAGTTGGAGATGCAAGCCACAATCGTTTTAGAAATTTCCATATCATTTCGCTTGGCTGATCAACAATCATCAAACAAATCGGACTCCCAACTCCGCGAGTATCATCTTTTTAATTTGAATTTAAAAAAAAAAATTGGAAATTTCGATATCCGAAAGTGTATCCCGTATCACGGAGAATAATAGGGTTTGAGTCAAAAGGCTCACCTTCGCCTTCAGCGATGGAGATGGTGCAGAGTCGAAATTGTTTCTGCAGATGTTCTTTAGCGGCGGCGGCGGCCTCGTCATCCTCTCTCTCTTCTCCGCTAGACATGGCTAACTCTTCAGCTCCTCCCATTTTCGTTCACAGGTCAGTCTCGCCAATATTTACAGTAAGATGTCCCGAATGATACGCGGGAAAGATTGAGCGATGTGTGAGTACGGGCAAGTTTATATATTTTGCTCGAAAAGAATTTCCTTTTGCCTCATCCCATTGAATTTTGTTTTTTAGCTAGAAAAGATTTTTTTATTTTAATCTAATCTGATTTGTTTGAACTGATTTTATTTTACTTATACTTAAAGTTATCTATGATCTGATCTTATCTCTATTGATTCTAATAAGAAAAGTTAATAAGTACGGAGTAATAAAAATAAGTTGAAGTGAACATTGCCTTAATCTAAATTAATTAAATATGTTCTTATTGGATCTGATCAAAATTTTTGCAGATCTTGTCAGATTAATTTTCTGACCCTACTCTCATGGCATCCAACTAGGTTATTTGTTTGTTTGTTTTGTTTGTCAGATTAATCTGATTAGATCTAATTTGAAATAATTAATATAATGGTTAAGAAACAAAATAGGAGTAAAACATTGATTAAAATCCAAAATAAGAGTGAAAACATAAAACCCCCAAAATAGGAGTTATTGACTCACTGTTTGCCACCGCCAAGATTTGCCACTTTCATCACCCCTTGCTCTTGTTATCGTCGCACGTTGTCGGCATCGCTAACCCCCACAGGTGTAGTGCCATGGTGTTACATGGAGAAAAAATAAACTGTAAATCAAAAATACAATGCTAAAAATGACAACATACAGTGACAAACATGGCATTGTAAGATGCAAAAATACAAAATTTTAGGTCAATTGAAAATAAAATACCAAAGATGTCAATGCACAGTGACAAACGTAGCTCTGCAAAATGCCAAAAGTTCAATTGTACTCGGTGATACATGTGCATGCATCGAGCCTACGAAGTCATTAATTATGGGAAGAAAACAATTAAAATAAACACACAATCTCTCCATTGTTAGCTCTATGCCAAAAAAAAAAAAAAAAATTCACCCCCATCAATAATAATAAAAAAAATCCCAAAAAAGAAAAAAGAAAACAAATAGAAAGATCGAGTTTGGGTTGAGGAGCTAGCCATATATTAGCATCTATGCATGCACGAGGGTTATCATTAGTCAAATATTGTCAGCACTAGTGATGTTCATTTAATTTTCGCAAGTTAGTGAATGTGTGGCTCCCGGCGGCTAAACTATTGTAAAACAAAAATATTTAATTAATCCTACTTAGAGGAGTTTAAGTTTGAACTCCTACTTTGAGGATATAACACATGTTTTACTCCTATTTAAGGGGTTTTCTTTTAATATAAATCTAATGTTGTTGGATATGATATGAATTAATCTAATTGGACCTGATATGATCTGATTGGATCTGTTCTGATTTGAATAAATCTTCTCTAATCTAATTTAAAGCAAACAATCACCTCAAATATGAGTAAAACATAACACTTATCCTCAAAATTGGACTTCCATGTTTATCCTTAAAATAAGAGTTTGTACTCTTCACTACCAATTGGCTTGTGACGGACGTTTGTGATGGAAAATGAGCGTGCGTAATCCAGCATCACAAACACTTTGCGACGGACTTTTAGGCCTTCACACAATTTGTAACGGTTTTGTCAAGGCCTCATCCTTCACAAAGTGACGTTTGGGCAAACATTACGTTCCTTACTTTGTGGCGACCAGAACCGTCACAAAATTTGTCCCGTCGTTTTGTGACGGATTTAAGCATCACTAATTTTAATTTTTGAAAGTTTTCATTTTCAAACATAATCGTCACTGCCAAATGTGTGAAGAATTTAGGGATGGTTTTGGTCGTCACAAATTAAGAAAATTTAAAATTTTCATTTTTAGATTTAACCCGCCACTGCCAAACTTGTGAAGGTTCTGGGGCGGATATAGCCGTCACAAATTTTGAACATTTTAAAAAAAATTGTGCAGGCGCCGAAGCGCCCACACGTTTAATTTTTAAAAAAAATTATTTGGTGTAATTTTTATTTATTTAGAGCTTACAATAACATAAAAACACATAATTAATAAAATAAAATATATCATAATAATGTTTCACCAAAAGTTAAACATGCACCGTAAGCAAAAAACAAGGTATTGCATGCATATCAGTTTAAAAGCTAAATAAGTCAACACATACAAGTCATAAGAATGTTCCAATTAACCAAACAAAATGTTTTTCATTAGTGAAGGCCTAGGGATTCATTCAGGTACAAGTCCACATCATTTTCTTCATTAGTAAGATTGGGGGTGCTTCTCCTAGGTGTTGAAACAGATGGTCCTCGCATGTTTATCATTATAGGGTTTGTGGGAACAAATCCAGGCATCATTGGTGATGGGGAATAAAAAATGCAGGATGATTACCCGAGGTGGGGTTTTGAATCATGGGGAGCATCGAAGTGGACGTGGTGCCATCTTTTCCTGGAATAGTAGCACTTCCTGCCATTGCCTTTCTCACCTCTACCAAAATATCCTCCTTTTGTTTCTCCAAGCGTGCTTGTACTTCTTTTTCAATTTCATTTTTCCAACGCGCCGGAATAGAACTCATCGTCGCACTACCATGACTCCCTCAAGAACCTCATGATATAGTCCATGCCTTAGAACCCATTCCGCACACACCTTTTTAACTACTCCACCAGCTACTTCCACATAAGCATCAATGTCATCCATTTCGGAAGAATCCCCAACACACTATTGAGTTTGTTGGCTCTTAATGGTATTATAACGTGTCTAAAAAATTGACTCTTATTGGATAAAATAGATTTTACATGAAATTATCCATTTAAAATTGTAAATACCTCAATTTCAAATACGAATGTAGTAGGCTCCCCATCTTGAGAAGTGAAGCAATACTTCAAGACCTCTATCGTGCTAGGCTTCTTCTTGTCTTTCTTCTCCTGTAAAAAAAAGAAATTATTAAATAAATAAATTAAAATATTAGAGATTAATCTAAAATCAAATATATTTACCATTCTCTCTTCATGTTTAGAAACAGAGATTGAGCCAGCTTACATTATAACACTATGTAGTGGCATTCCACATTATTTTTTAACAATAATAAATTTTCGTTATTGCCATTATACTCTTATTTTAACGATAAAAAACATGGAGCTCCTATTTTAATACTTTCTCCCTTTTACTCTTAATATATACCCTGCAACCGCTTGTACGACCGGTTTTTCTTGTACATCCGCAGAGAGTACTCATTTTCGGTTAACTAAATACTCATTTTCAATTAACCAAATAATCATATTTTTTAAAATTCAGAATCGAAAATGAATATGGGAAACACCGTACATGTGGAATTGTGGACGTATGGTATAGGCAACTATTTTTACTCTTAGTTTATTCGTTTTTCCATTAAAAGTAAAAAACTATTACACTAATAAATTTATAATTATTATTAGTATTATTATTTTGACTTTTATTGTTATTATTATTATTATTATTTTATGAGTAGGGATCCAATGACCACATAATAATTTTTCTTATATTTAAATGTCTCAAAAGGGGTTCTCTTTATCTTTCTCATTTTTTAAATATATGTATAAAATCCAAAATATTTCATTCACATTTAAAAAGAATTCAACCACTTACGTTTTCATATTTGAAACACATTTTTAATTTTTGTGAAAACAAAAGAAGTAATTGCTATAGGACACAAAAAAAATATTATTATCATAACTATTGCTCCATGTTTTAGTAAAACATTTGCATATGTATTTTCATTATTTATTTGATAAAATAAAATGGGTACATTACTACTTGTTTTGCAAAACTTTTGAATTACTTTTTATATTTGTAAATTATACTCCTTATTTCCATAAATAACAACAATCTAGTTGTATCCCATGATAGTAGGATCTAGGGAGGGTGTACGTACAAAAACTTTACTTCTACCAAAAGTAGAGAAGTTGTTTTCAAGAGACAATAATTAATTTAGTTAAAGATATAACTCTTTAATAATAATAATAATAATAATAACAGTAATGACTATTATTTAATCTATGTAATATTATTAATATTATTTTATTTAACTGTATATAACATTATGATGGAAGGGGGACATCTGTATCCCCGCATGATAGCTTGTATGAATGGAGTATTCGGCCCATGACAATAAAACTGTCCACCTCTTGGGTTGTGCATGTGTATAAGCCCATAAGTACTATTTCGGAGTTCTTTTCATTAGCTCTGTAACCTGTGCAACACACGCCAAAAAGTGCTTGTGAAGATCTTATCTTGATCCGAGACGATGGGCTTCGGGAATCCATGTAATTTGATCACCATGTTAATAAAATGGAAAGCTGTCCAGTGGGCATCAAAGTCCCCGGGTAATGACTCAAAATGTGCATACTTTGTCAACCTATCAACAACCACCAGGATGACGAATGACCCGCAGAAAACCGGAAGACCTCTAATGAAATCCATACTCACATCCTCCCATACTTGATTCAAAATAGGAAAAGGTTGCAACACCTCGGCCGTAGATTAATTGCAAGATTTTGTGGTTTGGCATGTTAAGCATGCCGTGACATATGCTCTGACCTCATCCCGCATTCGGCGCAAATATAAGGATATGGTTAGGCGTTGAAAGGTCTAGTGAAAACTTGCATGCCCGGTGTGGGAATCATGATATTCCTTAAGTAATGCTTGTTAGAGAGAGGAGGCAGCACCAATGCACAGCCAATGGTTTTAATATAACAAGCCATCGATGAGAGAGAATAGGGTCAAAAGGGTCCCCCTGTGATATGCTTTGTGAAGCTGTAAGAGGTCCGGTTGGGTGCCATTGTCCTCTCGAATGTGATCCAGTATGTCCAAAATAAAGGGGCTGAGAAAGAGCTAAAAATTATGCAGCTCTGGTCGAACCCTCCTCCGTTTTGGACAACGCATCGGCGACGATATTCGTTCTACCTGGCTTGTACTTAATTTTGAAGCGGAAACCCCATCAATTTGCGGACATAAAATTGTTGATCTAAGGTTTGAATAACCTGCTGCGACAACTTCCGTAAACTCCGTTGGTCGGTGCGAATAAGAAATTCTCTACCAAGAAGATATTGCCTCCATTTGTGTATGGCTTCGACAATGGCGTATAGTTCTTTATGATAAGTCGAAGCAGCTAAGCGATGCAGCCTAAGCTTTTTGCTGAAGTAAGCCACCGGTTGCTCATGTTGCAACAAAATAGCCTCGATACCCGTGACAAAGGCATCGTTATCAACCACAAACAATACGGAGAAGTCCGGGAGACATAATAATGGCACCGTGGTAAGAGTCATCTTTAATTTTGAGAAAGCCTCAGTCGCCTTATCATTCCATTGAAAAACATCCTTCATCAAGAGGTCTGTGAGCGGCACTACTACGTGGCCATAATAATGATGGATGAACTGTCGTTAGTACCTTGTCAAACCATAGAATCCTCACAACTTTTTCAGTGTGTCGTGTAGCGGCGAGTCAACCATGGCAGAAATTTTGGTCGGATCGGGCTTTTGTTTTTCCCGCTCAATTATATGTCCCAAATACTTAATGGATTGTGTGCAAAAAAACACATTTAGAGAGCTTCACACAAAAACCATTCATGACCAGCATCCCCAATACTACCTCTAAGGGCTTCTCATGTACGGGTAAACATGGGCTATAAATCAATATATTGTCAAAGAAAACAATGACAAATGTACGCGGATAGGCCAAAACGAGCTTGTTCATCCATGCTTGGAACGTGGACAGTGCATTTGCCAAGCCGAACGGCATCACCGGAAACTCAAAGTGGCCTTTGTGAGTACGAAAATCCGTTTTATAGACATCCCGGTCGTGCATCCGAATAAGTGTGGTATCCGGAGCATAAATCCAGCTTGGTGAAGTAGCGGCCGGTGGCACCCAATTCATCAAATAACTCGTCGGCAGTGGGTATAGGGAAGTGATCCAGAATGTAATGGCATTTAGGGTCTTGTAATCTACACAAAATCAGTTGGAGCCGTACTTCTTCTTGACTAACAAAACTAGTGACGAGAAAGGGCTACGGCTTAGTTGAACCAAATCCTGGTCCATCATATCCCGAACCAAACATTCAATTTCATTTTTTTGAAATTGAGGGTATCTATACGGCTATACGTTCACTAAGTTAGCACCGGGCTAGAGGAAAATACGGTGGTCGCTCAAACGACGCGGTGTCAGGCCGGTGGGTACCCCAAACACGATAGGAAAGTGGCATAAGGGAGCCCGAATGGACTCTGGAAAATCCACGGGCAAGTCCAAAGGAGGGGTGCTGGTCTCGGTATCGTGCTTCACGAGTGTGATCTCAAAACAAGCTGCAATGTCCTGCTTGGCATGTGGTTGGTGAAAGTGATGCAAACTCATGGGTTTTGGCGTGACAGATCCCCCTTGCAGCACACCCTACCACACAAATTCCATTCTCAATTTGGTGTAATCGTGTGTTACATTCCCCAACAACTGAAGCCATTGTACGCCTAGCACCATGTCCAGCCCATGTATGACCAAGACAAACACGTCAATAGTATGAGGGAGTGCCTTGTAATAGCAGAGACACATTTTGTCATTGCTGGGAACAAATAAGGGATGCACCGTTCCCAACGTACACACAGAAAGCGGAAACATCAACGACCGATAATTGTAACCGTTCGACAACAGCGGGATGAACAAAGTTATGTGTGCTTCCTTCATCAATTAGGACCACTACGACCCTCTCTGCTAACATTCCCGAGAGCCAAAGGGAGCGCAACGTAGATACCCTTGCCATGATGTGTAGGGAGGACACGTCCGCTACCAATATGTTGCATTGGCACTCATGTTATCGAACGGTGTCCTTTCATCTACTTGTTGTCAGAGTTATAGCACAGTCCCTTTGCATCTCTTTCCAATTTCTTCGAAAGGGACAAGCAGTGAATTGGGGAATTGACAGGCGTGTTACAAGGCAACCCTTTCTTAGATTCTAGTGTGGGCAATAAAGGAGTGGATGAGGGTGGCGTGTAGGTTTTAGGCCACGACGAAGTGCGTGGATTGATGGTCAACACCCAAGCCGCATGTTTCGCTTCCAATTCCCTAGCCAAAGCGAAGGAAGCCGAGAGAGACTCCGACTTCTAATGCATGATCTCGTGTTGTGGATGGGCCTTCAACCCCGCATGAAAAAGGGATTGCAAATTACCCTCCGCAACACTCATGACGTTCACGACTATCTTCTCAAAAGCTTGGTGGTATTCAAACACCGAGCATGTTTGACGGACTTTAGAGAGCAACCCAAAGTGATCAATGTAGTTGAGAGGATCAAAGCGGAGTTTAGAGTTGGTCCCAAACTCGGCCCAGGATGCAAGAAGATTGTTACGCTGCTCCCCTCCAACGTCAAACACACCTTCGACAGACGTGATTCCTCAAGGATGTCTTAGAAGGTTAAATATTCATGTGCTTCGAATAACCAGCCCAAGGGATCCACACCATCGCACTTCGGCATATCAATTTTCAATTTATGGATGTGGTTACCTCGATCATGCGAACTACCAGACCGGTCACCATGTTCCCCATCTATTGGTCGTTTTTCTGTCCGTGCGATAGCCATGGACACATCCTTCTACACCTGCTAAATGGCATGATTAATTTGCTGCATGGCCGTCGATTGAGACGCCAATTGATTCTCAATTTAATGTTGAAATTCCTGGAAGCGAGCCTCCATCACTGATTCGGTGGTCATGTTGACTCAATGAGAGCACCAATTAATGTACAAACTCGTATCGGAGATGGAAGACTTTTGAGCGTCTTCGAGCTCTTGGGAAAGGTAGATGAAAGAAGAGTGAAGGAAGAGAACAGTAGACGAGAATAGCCGCACGTCCACAAGACGGGAGAGAGAGAGAGTTTTAGGGTTTGGTTCTTCTTATTGTGATCATGATAAATGGGTACATCTCCATATTTATAGATAAAGAAACCCTAACTGTCTATCCTGACGGTTCAAGAAAAAGCGACGAGATAAAGAACCATAAAGAAACTCTCGAAGGAGCTTATAAATCGCTCACCTAATAAAATCTAATACAACAATTAATATATAAATAATAAATTCCTTAATAATGAATATCAAATAAAAGTAAGAGTACGCCTACTGCATCACGAACTCTTCCTGCCACCTTGGAGCTCACCGGACTCGTTCGCTACGCCGACTGCTCGGTTCTTCAACCACCTGTCTCCGGCTTTCGGTCTCACGTGCATGGCTTCCTGGAAGTTCCATAACATCATGCTATGTTAGGTCTTACAGTTTATTAGATCATTTGGACATTTGCCATTTATATGTTAGAGTTAGTTCTGTTAAATATGTTATGTATATATTTAATATTAATTATGTGATCATTGTATTTATGGTAGTTTACATGTATAGGTTCCCTTCCGTAATTAGGAATCTTCTGTAATTATTTATACGAGGCTTCGTCCTCCGTTATTATTCAATAGAAAATAACAATTTTTCATGGTATCAGAGCCTCCCATTGCTCTCCGCCTCTCGTCCGACCTACCGTAGGCAAAACCCTAGCCGCGCCGTCGCCACCCCTCTCTCTCGGCCGAACAACAGCCAGCCGCCGATCCACCCTCCTCCCTCGGCAGTTCTTGGCCGCTGTCTCTCTCCGGCGACCTCCCTCCCTACGGCAAGCAACCACCCACCGATCACCATGTCCGAGAAGCCCTCGGTCACCGGCTCGACGTCCTCTTCTCCAACTCCACACTTGGCGTTCACGACGATCTCGAACGTTAAGCTCCATGTGCTGATTCTTGTAAGGTTCTCCAAACCTAACTACAAAAAGTGGAGCCGGCTCTTCCTCCTCCTTATACGGAGGTTCTCCTTGGGTGATTTCCTCACTGGTAAGTCATCTCCTTCTAGCGCCGATGACTCGGAATGGTTCCAACTTGACGATCTCATACAAGGTTGGATTCTCTCAACGGTTAATGATGAAATCTGCGATCTTGTTCTCTCCACAACCAACTCTGCATCCGAACTTTGGCGAGCCATCTACAACATCTTCCACGACAACAAGCCGGCCCGGGCGATGCAACTTGAACACCAAATTCCGCACTACCACGAAGGGTTCTCTCTCCATTTCTGCTTATTGTCAAACCCTACGGAACCTTGCAGATTAGTTGGATGATGTAGATGCCACCGTCTCCGAACAAATACTTGTTCTTCAACTCTTGCGTGGCCTCCGAGATGATCTTCAAGCACAAACTCCATTCCTTCAATACCAAACGCCCCCCGACATTTCTCCAAACCCGTTCGGCCCTCCTTTTAATTGAACAACATCGGGCTGAATTGGGCGTCGGTAGCATCACGGGGGATGGCGGCATGGCGTTATACGCCGGTAGTGGAGGCCTGCGTTGGCAGGGCAGCGCCGGTGGCGGGCGGTCGGTATCTAGTGGCGGGAGAGGCTTCCGGCAGCAGCAGCAGTACGCCCGGCACCACATGGCGGTTCATCTAGGGGTTGTGGCCGCCCACCCAAACCTAACTCGGGCAGCAGCAGTAGTACACCCTCGGGGAGCCCTCTGGACAGTTCACCCACCCAAACCCTAACCCGGGCCTTCTAGGCCCCTGGCCAAACCCCTACCCGCACCCCCAACACCCCCAAGCCTACTTCTCTACCCCTTATCCACCCCACGT